TCTAAGCAACTTTTTTTTTTTTTTTTTGAGACAGAGTCTAGTTTTGTTGCCAGGCTAGAGTGAGTGACGTGGGTCAGCCTAGCTCACAGCAACCTCAAACTCCTAGGCTCAAGCATTCCTGCTGCCTCAGCCTCCCAAGTAGCTGAGACTATAGGCATGCACCACCATGCCCGGCTAATTTTTTGTATATATATTAGTTGCCAATTAATTTGTTTCTATTTAGTAGAGACGGGTCTCGCTCTTGCTCAGGCTGGTTTCGAACTCCTGACCTCGAAAATCCGCCCGCCTGGCCTCCCAGAGGCTAGGATTACAGGCGTGAGCCACCGTGCCCGGCCGAGTCTAAGAACTTTTAAAGGGACCTGGCATTCTTTGGAAGCCCTCTGGCTCAGAGGATGCTAGAAGAGATCCTTTTGGTCCCTCACCTACACCCATCCCCTCCTGTCCTGCAGGGAGCAGCAGAAGTGGATCTAGAAGGAGCTCCAGCGAACACCAGCTGGCTCTCTCTGGCTGTTCAGGCCACTGCTTTGGCGCCTCTGGGATCCGTTCAGAGCAGCGTACCACAAAAACTGCTTTCTCCTCGGCTCTCAGGCTGCACTGGGAATCAGTTAGTGCTTTAGAGCTGGCATCTCTGGTACTGAGAAGTGCTCAGGCTAGTAGGCCCCTGGGGCTTCCGAGAGTTCCTAATCTCCCACTTTGTCTATCAAATCCTGTCCCACTTCAGAGACCAGCTCAATCCCAGCCCTTCCACTTAGCCTTGCAGTACTACTCCCTTCCCAGAAGCCTTTATGAAGCTCTCTGCATCGCAGGACGTGATGCAGCATTATTCCTGTTTGGTTTTTCATTCAGTTGTTTGTGAGCACTTAATGAGACGGGCACAGAGGGAATACTTGGGAGAAATCAAAGACTAGTAGTCCCTGCACTCAGAAGCAGTTACAGAACAGTCGGAAAACCGCACGTAGACACTCAGAACTTTAAGCATCTGCACAAAGTAGTGTCTCATAACTCACGGTGGCAATGGGCAAATAAGTACCAGGTATCAGAGAAAATAGATGAACAGATGAGACCATTGCCTGGGCTCTTGCTTGGCCTGGGGGGATGGAAAAGAGAGAACAAACTTAAGAGAATATTTCTAAGGACTCCATTGATACACCACTTCAGACCAAGCTTTCCAGTCTGAGTGCTTGAGAAAGTGGGGTGCAGTGAAGAGAACAGGGAATGGGAGGAGTTGCCTGATTAAGGCAGAGTTGTGACTTTCACTAAGCAACACTCTTCATCTTTCTGGTATTTTGATGCTGTTGACACCTAAGAGGTTCGCTGGCCCCCAGCAGGTAGACTGCCTCTCCGCAGTCATGCATGTCTAAACAGTAAAAGTCGCGCTGTGCAAGCTTGCCTTTCGATATGAATCCAGACCCATCCAAGCCACAGCCCCAGCAGGCACCTCGGCTGTCCGAGCTCTCACACGTCCTGGCCAATCTTCCCGCCTTCATCTCCCGAGACTGCTGAAACTTATTCAACACAGCTGATCCTGCTTCACCCTGCCTCCCCCATTCCTCCCACAGAAACTCGCCTCCTGACCGCCCTGTGCCTTCTCCACTGAGTCCCTCTGGTTCTGCAGCCCCTCCGCCTGGTCTGTGAGTACACAAACCATCTTTGCAATGCTAGTCTGTGTCCGTGATTGTGTGGCCTCACGTATCCGAATAACTATAGTAATACCTTTTAAACAACGTGCCAAATTGCAGCCCTGACACACTGAAATTGTCCTGTTGTTTAAGTCAGGAGGCAGCAGGTATAACGAAAAGAGTAAGGAATCAAAGTTCCGGTTCAAGTCCAACCTTCCTTCTGACTTACACAAGTTTGCTACAAGCATTAACTTTGCAGGGCTCCCCTCTCTAGGCATCCCTGACGTGCTGCGCTGTGTCCAGGGTACGTGTGGACTTCAATGGATAATGGTATCCAAAGTGATTCAAACTCTAAATTAGATCTTAACTACAATGTCCCTCTGCTGTATGTTGTACAAAGCGTTTAGGGACCATCTCATAAAGTTCTCTTGGGCCCAGCACATATCACTGCTGAAGAAGAATTGACATTCAACAGTGGCGTGCTCAGATGCAAGGGGCGTGACGCGTCTCCTCCTCCGCCCCCTTTCCATCCTACATCGCCTCACCTCCGCCGGGTCGGAACTCTCCACATGAAACGCCGCCCCCAAACATGCGCAAGCCATCCAGTCACAGCTGAAATCAGCAGGGTTGTGGGCGCTGATGCGCCGATCATCCAGGATGAAGGTCACATCTTCGGGAGGAGAAGAGGCAGTCACAGGAGGATGTGGGTGAGAGAGAACACGGCCAACACGCCCCGAGGGGGAGTCCAGGCAACAGCCCGCTTTCTTCTAGCACACAGACAGGAAGCAGCTATAACATGCCGCACCACTGAAACAACCACGCTCTCAGCCTGAGGGAGAAGGGTGTGGGGTGATGAAATACAGGGTCAGGGTTAGAAAACAGGAAAGGGTCAGCCATGGCCCAGCTTTTGCCCCATGGGGGCTGCGAGCTACTGTTTTAACCCCCACAATCCTCAGTCGCATCCTCCTCTCTAGACTAACCTTACAATCTCCTGTTGAATTCTCTATGTCCCAAACGAGCACTAAGGCTCTATGTCCGGTGACCCTTCATTACAGGGGCTCCTGCTCTCCTATCCTGCCGACCCAACACACAGCAAAGCCTGCAGGGGGTGTGGGGGACCTTAAAAGGTGAGGGTGAGTGCTTGCAATCTCCAGACAAGCAAAGGCAAGAGCCCAGTGCTGTCTGAGCGCTGAGACCAAATCCCTCCCTGCCACCAGCCCCAACTTCGAGGGCCAGGACCCTGTGCTGTCCTGAGAGCCAGCCAGCAGTATCCCGGCATCCTCAGTCTGAGAAGGTGACAAGTCCTTTCCTGAAAGGCATTGGAGTTGATTCTACACCCTAAACCTTCATCTCATCATCACAGGGGCCTCTGTTTGGTTTTATAAAAATGTAAGCTATGCAGGGTCTTTTTTGGGTTTTCATTCTTTGAAGGGACAGAGGACAGAGTGTTTTTGTTGGTGGTGATTTTGTTTTGTTTCCTTTTCCGTTTGGGTTTTGTTTTTTGCTAATTTTGCCCCACCCTATAAAAAGCAGTGCTACCCAGAGGCAGGGGGAGGGGACGGAGGAGCACGGAATGGACAGACCCTGCCCTTCTCCGCCTACCCCAGCTGTTGCCTGTGGTTCCCGTCTCCAAACCTGAGGGGTGAAGGAGGGGCGGGGGAGGAGTTTCTCAACGCATCAAGAGGTGATGCTCCCGGCCCCCCTGGGGAACGCCAAGCAACCTCTGGCCCTGTCATCAGCCTGCACTGGTGCAGCCCTGGGACGGAGGGACGCTGGCAGGACACAGGCCTTTCCACTGGTGGCCTCTTGCAGCTGCACCCCAGGATGTAAAGCCCTGAGCCGGGCTCCGAAGGCTTCGTTTCTACCCTGACTTCTCCAGTGAGGATTTGAGTAAGCTCCATGTGGAAATGGCCACAAAACATGTGCAACCCCTCAAGTCCATTGGTGGCAAAGACATTGATGGCCAAGAAAGGCAGGACCCTCGCGGCTCACTTCTGCTCAAGAGGGCAGCTGCCTCCCTGGCCGGAGCAGAGACCCAACGTGGGGAGGCTTTTCCCTTTGACTTCAAGGTGCTGGGACCCAGATAACATGCCAGAGCTTGCAGCTCCTCCCCTGTCCCACCCCCAGCAATTGTCTCCACCCTGCTTCGGACCTGGGGACCTCTGCAGGTGGTTCTTGTTCTGATCCCCAGGGCGAGGCTACTCTCTGGCTGGTGAGGACAGCGCCGCCCTTAGTAAGGTCCTGGTCCCGCCGATCCCCTTGATCCCCTTGTCCCCGTAAGGTGGAGGGGAGATGCAGAAGGACAGAGGGGCTGGGCGGTGGGGACAACAGCTGCAGGGTCAAAGGAGGGTGGCAGCATCTCAGACCACAGCCGAGGAGGAGGATGGAGATGCTGAGGAGGCCGCCGAGGAGGACGGAGAGGAGGGACTGTTCCAGAACAGCCACCGCCGCTTGGGCTGCCGTTTCAGGTGCAGGTAGTCCTCCTTCTCTCGCTCCTTCCGCGCCCGCTGGTAGTGATCCTCCTCCTTCAGGTACCAGACGGGCGGCCACCGGTGCTTCTCGAAATACTCCTGGTTTTCTGGAGCAGAGCGCAGTGGGACTCCGTTAGAAAGACAGTAGAGGGACAAGGGGAGCCCAGGACCTGCGCGGTGCCCAGAAGGTGCCAGCCCCGCCCTGCCACGTGGCCTTGTGGTGGGAGCCCCGCCCAGCCCCGCCCCCACGCCCACACCCGTGGCCCATGGTGCCCCTAACTGTCGAGATGTGCCCAGGGAGCAGGGGCGACAGTAAGCACCAGGAAGGGCCCTTCCGGTTGTGGTTTCCTGAAAGACGGAGGGGAGACCTGGAGGGGAACCCTAGACGGGGCTTCCTGTGTGCTGGGAATAAAACAGGCCGAGAGGAAGAACAGGGACGGACAGGTAAGCTGGGCTGTGGGCCGAAGGTACTCGCTCGGCCAGGTTAGGGTTCCGATCAGACTCGGGAGGTCGGGCCACCGCAGGACGCGGGTCAGGCTGGGGGTTGGGGGAAGGCCGGCCTCATTCTGGAGGGTGTGGGGAGACACAGAAGGCTTGGAACCAGGGCGGTGATGTAGTTGGACCTGTGCTTTAGAAAGAAAATGCTAGAAGGGATGTAACAACGTGAAAGGTTGGAGAGAACTGGGTGGGAGGAGGAGTAGGGTGCTGCAGCCTGGAGGAAGCGGGGAGGAGGGTCACAGCAGAGTGGGAGGAGCCCAGTGAAGACCCTTGCGGCTGCCAGAGACACCTCTCTCTGGAGCCCATGCAGTTCCACTGGCTCAAAGACCTGAGAAATATTATTAAGACGAGACCCAGCCACAGGAGCCCTTTGAGTCCAGCTGGGTGGTCCTTGCTGTGCACTACGCTCATGCCTGGGCTATGAGATCAATTTAGTGGGTCATGAACCGCCTTTTTTAAAAAGTATGTACTGTTCTATGTGTGTACTGGGTCACAGAATAAAACGTATTTCTTATTGTGGTGCCCTGTCCAGAAAAGTCTGAAAACTACCAACTCTAGTCCAGCGTCCTCTCTATAGCCCTGAGAGATGGAAGCCCAGAGAGGCAGAACGAGCTTCTCACCAGGCCAGTGCTTTTCCTGGGGTGCCCTCTGCTGAGCTGGAGGCTCTTCTGCAGGCTGACCCCACCCCCCAGGTCAAAGTAGGGTTAAATCCAAGATGTGGACCCAAGTTGAGACCCCTTGAGCATGAAGAGGAGAGCAGCAAAAGCTGCCAGGGCTGGCCCCAGACGCTCACCTGGGGACATAGCCTTCATGTCTCGGGGGAACTTGCGGCACACGTTGTTGTAGTTGGTGCAGATGTGATGGAGACACCAGTCAGCCAGCTGGTACGCACAGTGGAACTGCGGGCAGAATGGAAGGGTGTCTGTCTTGGGACCCAGGGGTGGGCGTCTGCATGGACACCTGCAGCTGCCCACCGTCCCCCCAGCTGCAGACATCCAGAGCCCTATGTGGTGGCTTCCTACTGCATCTGCCCTCCTCAGACCCTAACCTGCATGACACCCTGTCCCTTCCCATCAGGGGCCAAAGCCATCCACATTGAGGTGTGGACAGGCAGGAGCAGGGAGCTGACTTTCCCAGGTGTGTCTGCAAGCTTTGACTCAGCTATGCTTTAACTTTGCAAACTAATCATTGGTGGTTGTATTTCTGGCACTGAGGGAGTCAGTGTGGGAGAGTTTGCTGTTTGGGATGAGGGGCCAGGCACTTAACTTCAGATTGAGAGTCCTCATTGCCCATTACATGACTTCAGGCAGGCAGCAATATCTAGGCCTGAGACTGGAGTTCCCTCCCCTGCCCTCTGGTTGCCTGAAGTCTCAGCCCTTTCCTCCCAGGGCCAGCTCTCCTCTGGGTATGTCAGGGAGTTCTCTCGCTGCTTCCTGGCGTGGAGGGTGAGATAGGCTCTGCCCAGTCAGGGATCTGCGTCTGACAGCAGGTTCCCTTCCTATCCTCCACCTCCCAGCCCTCCCCATTTGGCGCCAATGGGCAGGCAGAGCCTAAAGTTGGGACTGCTGTAGATTCCTTCCCCTGCCGTGATACCTGAGCTAGTTCCAGGAACACAAGGACGTCCCCATCGATGTCCACCATCATCTGGGTTGCTTCCATCAGCCCGGTCACTGTGTACTGCTCTGTGACACACACAGCCAGCAATCAGCTTAAGAATCACATGAATGGACCTGCACTCACACCCCAGCAGGGGCTCACTGCAGGGCAGAGAAATCAGGGCCAGAGGCAAGTCCGGACAGGCCAGGAAAGGCCGCAGGTGATTTCAGTCTGCTCCCGCCAGGGGGAGACCAGGAGGCGAGCAAGACTTTCTCAGAGGGGTGTGGATGGGAAGTGAAGGAGGACATTAGAATCAGCTGAGATTTTTCAAACTGCATGTGTCCCATCACTTAGTCTGATATACGCAGGATGGAAGTCCTCAATCGAGTCATTGATACAGATGGGAGAGGGTGATTAAGCCTCACATTTTTTGGAAACAAAGCTAAGAACTGTGAGTTTATGGGTTAAACATAGTTATTTGTTTTAATTTAAATTCTGTAACAAATTGTGTACTAACCTTGCATTTTATGTTACAACTTTTATATTGAAGACTACCCTTGGTTCTGAATTTCAATTAGAAATATCAGCATAAACTCATGAGGTATTTATCTTTAAAAAGATAAATATGTTTCCCAGCTCTGTCCACAGAAGAGACCTAGAGACAATAATCATTGCAGGAGCAATGAGCATTCCTAGTGCACAGAAATACCATTTTCATTTCAAGCTATGAGAAACCAGGACTTCTTGGAAACATAGCTGATTCCAAGTCTGGGTCATGAAATATACAAGAGGGACCTAGAACATCGCATCATCCCAGAAAGCAAGGAAGCCCAAAGACTCCGGTGCAGCCTGCAGAGACTTCTACTGGCTAAGAGTACAGTATTTGAGCTTCAGTAAGGATAACTGCAATTAGTTGAAACCAATCAAGTATGCTCAAATCTAAGAGTTCATAATACTACTTAAAAAAAAAAATCCAGGCCGGGTGGGGTGGCTCCCGCCTGTAATCCTCAAGGTCAGGAGTTCGAAACCAGCCTGAACAAGAGCAAGACCCCATTTCTACTATAAATAGAATTAATTGGCCAACTAAAAATATTTAGAAAAAATTCCCCGGGCATGATGGCGCATGCCTGTAGTCCCAGCTACTTGGGAGGCTGAGGAGGGAGGATTGCTAAAGCCCAGGAGTTTGAGGTTGCTATGAGCTAGGCTGAGGCCGTGGCACTCTAGCCCTGACAACAAAGTGAGACTTGTCTCAAAAAAAAAAAAACAATCCAACCTAATGGGTCACCCTCAAAGGATGATAGGAAACAAATTTATCTTAAAAACTGATTTAAAAAAAAAAAAAAGGAAAGAAGCATTCACCTGCCTGCCTTTCCCTACATGAACTATGCTACTGGGTAGCCTAATAGTAAATGAGGGGAAGTTTCTCTCTTTTTGGAAGTATTCCAGTAGATATGCAAATAAGGAATGAATGAATTGGAATATTTCATTTTATAATATCTAATAAATTGATGGATCCAGGCAGTGCTACTTAACGTTTGCTAATATCACAAAAGAAAGAAAAATAGACAATCTATATATACCTTTTGATGAAGAAGAGAAACAACCCATGAAGTTGTCTTGCCAAAAGAAAACTGAATGTGCATCTGATCTAGCTTCTAGATCCAACTACCGGTTTACAGGAAATAGGGCAGACAGAGGGATATGTTGAACTGCATTACAGAAATGCAATCAGCAGATATCTAGATCATGGACAGCTCTACAGGAACAAAGGGTCAGTGTTTGGCTTATTATCAACAAATGAATTGCATGAGCAAAAATGGTTTTAATGGACAAGGAAAAGAAACTTAAGTTTAAGAAACTTAAAAGATATATAAAAAATAAAACCATGCTGTAGTGTTTGAGGATGTACACTTGGATGATAAAACAATTAAGTTTTATAGTAAGAGTAAGGAAGTCAGTCCATTAAAAGTACCATTAAAAAGGAGTGCTGGGCAGAGCGGTTCCTCTTAGGGAGCAGCGAGAGGTGGATGACTTCTAGGGGCTGGCAAGGTTCCAGCTCCTGACATGAGTCATGAGTAGAAAGGCATTTTGCTTTATAATAACTCATTAAACTGAACATCTGTTTCATGCACTTTTATGTATTTGTGTATAGTTAACTTTTATGTATTTATGTACAGGTAACTTTAAATTTAAATTTGAATTAATAGCTTCATAGGAAGCATATCCTGCCAAACCTAAGGCATCACCAATTATACAAAACTTGGCATCATCCACTGATCCTTATCAAGGTAGATATATACATTTTTGTATACGTTTTCTGGTGCACATGGACTATTTCATGGAAAACATTATCCAACGTAATTCTCTATAAGCCTTCCCATGCAGCAGTGCAGTTTAACGTTTTTAATGACTGCCACGTGAAAATTACCTATGTGTGCTTAACCAGTGGTACTACTTTGAGTTGCTTCCAATTGCCTTTCATGATGAAATGAACTTATACCTGTACATATTTTTTCCCCTTTGGGTCATTTCTTTGGAGAAAATCTTTTAAAAGTGGAATGATTCCAGCTAAGAATTTGAAGTTTTATGTGCTCTGGGAAGACCCCACCATTTTCCATGGACAGCAAAGGATGACGTACTGTGATAGCTGTCATCTCCAGAACCCTCTCTTTCTCCCTGCCCACAGTCCCCTTTGCCCCCAGCTGGGGCCTGGACTCCCTATGCAGGCTCAGCTCTTAATATTCCAGTGTTTTTTTTTTTTTTTTTTGAGACAGGTTCTGCTGGTAGAGTGCTGTGGCATCATTCTAGCTCACAGCAACCTCAAACTCCTGGGCTCAAGCAATCCTTCTGCCTCAGCCTCCCAAGTAGCTGGGACTACAGGCATGTGCCACCATGGCCAGCTCATTTTTTTCTATATATTTTTAGTTGACCAATTAATTTCCTTCTATTTATAGTACAGATGGGGTCTCACTCTTGCTCAGGCTGGTTTCGAACTCCTGACCTTGAGCGATCCTCCTGCCTTGGCCTCCCAGAGTGCTAGGATTACAGGCGTGAGCCACCGCGCCCAGCCAATATTGATCAATGATTTCTACCTGATATTGATCAATGATTTACATCTGATCAATGATTTCCACCTTCTTCCCATGACCAAGTCCCCTCTTATAATTCATTTGTCTTTGTGAGATTGCTGTTTTCCCTCATATCTGAGCCCCAATCTTGATCATCTGCCTAGGGCCTCAGAAGCTCTGATACTGGGTCCTTCTCTAAACCTCAATTCAGTATCTGAGGATCTGCTCTCTGCCCCTCTGAGCTGCCCAAGAATGTTAACCTGGATAGCAACACCAGCACTGGTACCAGTGCCAACACCACCAACAACAACACAATTGCCAACTCCAGTGTGAACGGGAGCCAGCTGCCTGCCCAGGTCTCTGGCCCCAGACTCCCCTGACCCCAGCAGCACCATTTCTGTCCCCCAGGCCCTTTGGACTGCTACCCCAGTTCTTGTCTACCCCAGAGGGCCCCTGAGATTGGAGAATTAGGAGTGGCAGGTCAATGTTTGCTTTCTGTTTTTAGAAGAAGGAAGAGGAGAAATCAAAAGTAGAAGAAGACATTCCTCTGCATTATTAGATGAAACAAAAAAAAAAAAAGAGAGAGAAAAGAGAATTGAATAAAAGAATAAAATATTAAAAAAAATAAATAAATAAAAAGTAGAAGACAACCCCCCACTGCTAAATTTGGCTTTAAAAAATAATAAACAATAACATAATAAAGAAAAATTTAAGAAAAGGTAGAACAAGAGAAGAAGGAGAAGGGGAAAAAAGGCAGAGGGGAAAGAATTGTGGAATTGTGTTCTATTCTTTTTTGACTTCTTAAGCTTGCCTGTGTAAAGCCATGCTAAGGACACAAAGCACTGTCATCTGCTGGAGACCACGCTGTTGGGCCTTTGGAGAGAGCCTCCCGGGGTGACCCCATCGGATGCCTCTCACACACTTTCACATCTATATCCTCATCCAGAACTCAGTACGTGTTGACAGGTTTCATTTGATGTAAGCTTATTCCCTTGGTGCTACCACCTGTCCCCCAGGAAGAGGGAGATGCGAGAAGAACGCATAATCACTCTTTGGCTTCCCTGACTCCTTCTCCAGGGAGGTCCCAGAGCACCGCGGCTGGTTACCTGTGAGGGCGACCAGGTGTGGCAGGCAGAGGCGGTTTGCCAGGATGATGAGCTTCATGTCGTCCAGGTCGGGACTGGAGGTGAACATGCCAGTGTAGAGGTATTCCAGCACCGCCCTCATGCAGCTCTTGCTTGTGTAAGGAAACACCACCTGGGGTGGGGAGGAGTGAGCAATGAAGTCCAGCGCGAAAAGAGATCTCGGCGCTGAGATACTGAAAAGGCCCTGGCCCCCACGGCCGGTCTCCCAAGGCCGCAGCCTTCCCTGTGCTGTGCCCGTGTTTGCTGGGAAGATGCAAGGCCTGGCCCAGAGCCAAACCTGCACTCGGCCCAGCCTGCCAGCAGCACCAGGGAATAGCTCTAAGAACTTTTTTTTTTTTTTTTGAGACAGAGTCTCATTTTGTTGCCCAGGCTAGAGTGAGTGACGTGGCGTCAGCCTAGCTCACAGCAACCTCAAACTCCTAGGCTCAAGCATTCCTGCTGCCTCAGCCTCCCAAGTAGCTGAGACATAGCATGCACCACCATGCCCGGCTAATTTTTTATATATATATTAGTTGGCCAATTAATTTGTTTCTATTTATAGTAGAGACGGGGTCTCGCTCTTGCTCAGGCTGGTTTCGAACTCCTGACCTCGAACAATCCGCCCGGCTCGGCCTCCCAGAGAGCTAGGATTACAGGCGTGAGCCACCGCACCCGGCCGAGCTCTAAGAACTTTTAAAGGGACCTGGCATTCTTTGGAAGCCACTCTGGCTCAGAGGATGCTAGAAGGAGTCCTTTTGGTCCCTCAACCTACACCCCATCCCCTCCTGTCCCTGCAGGGAGCAGCAGAAGTGGGATCTAGAAGGAGCTAAGCGAACACCAGCTGGCCTCTCTCTGGCTGTTCAGGCCACTGCTTTGGGCCTCTGGGATCCGTTCAGAGCAGCGCTACCACAAAAACTGCTTTCTCATCGGGCTCTCCAGGCTGCACTGGGAATCAGTTAGTGCTTTAGAGCTGGCATCTCTGGTACTGAGAAGTGCTCAGGGCTAGTAGGCCCCTGGGGCTTCCGAGAGTTCCTAATCTCACACTTTGTCTATCCAAATCCTGTTCCCACTTCAGAGACCAGCTCAAATCCCAGCCCTTCCACTTAGCCTTGCAGTACTACTCCCTTCCCAGAAGCCTTATGAAAGTCACTCTGCATCGCAGGACGTGATGCAGCATTATTCCTGGTTTGGTTTTTCATTCAGTTGTTTGGTGAGCACTTAACTAAGAGACGGGCACAGAGGGGAATACTTGGGAGAAATCAAAGACCTAGTAGTCCCTGTACTCAGAAGCAGTTACAGAACAGTCGGAAAAACCGCACGTAGACACTCAGAACTTTAAGCATCTGCACAAAGTAGTGTCTCATTAACTCCAAGGCTGGGCAATGGGCAAATAAAGTACCAGGTATTCAGAGAAGATAGAGAACAATGAGGACCATTGCCTGGGCTACTCTGCTTGGCTGGGGGGATGGAAAAGAGAGAACAAACTTAAGAGAATATTTCTAAGGACTCATTGATACACCCCTTCCAACCCTAAGCTTCCAGTCTGAGTGCTTGAGAAAGTGGGGGGTGTCAGTGAGAGAACAGGTGAATGGGAGGAGTGCTGATTAGAGGCAGAGGTGACTGTACTAAGCAAACCTCTTCATTTTCTGTATTTTGATGCTTTGACACCTAGAGGCTTGCTGGCCCTAGAGGGACTGCCTCTCCCAGGGCTAGTCAGTTCCTAGAGACAGTAAAGGAGTCGCCTGCAAGCTTGCCTTTCGTATGCAATCAGACCCATCCAGAGCCCACAGCCCCAGCAGCACCTCGCTGTCCAGCTCTCACACTCCTGGCCAATCTTTCCCTGCCTTCATCCTCCCAGGACCTGCTGAAATTATTCGAACCAGCTGATCCTGCTCACCCTGCCTCACCCATTCCTTCCCACAGAAACCCTCTGCCTCCTGACCCGCCCTGGTGCTTCTCCATGAGGTCCCTCGTGGTGGTGTGCATGGCCCCCTCCGCCTGGATCTGTGAGTAACAAACCATCTTCTCAATGCTAGTTGTGTCCTGATCTGTTGGCCTCACCATATCTCAATAATAGTGGAACCTACCTTTTAAAACAGTGACAAATTCAGCCTGGGACACACTGAAATTTCTAGTTGTTTCAAGTCAGGGAGGCAGCAGGGTATAATGAAAAGAGCTAAGGAATCAAAGTCCTGAGTTCAAGTCCTAACCTCTCCTTTCTACTTACACAAGTTTGTACAAGTCACTTAACTTCTCAGGGCTCCCTCCGCTAGGCATGCCCTGCGAGTGCTGCGCTGTGTGTCAGGGTCACGTGTGACTTCAATGGGATAATGTATCCAAAGTGATTTCCAAACTCTAAAGTTAAGATCTTACTACAATTCCCTCTGCTAGTATGTTGTAAAAGGTTTAGGAACCATCTCATAAAGTTCTCTTGGGCCCAGCACATAGTCAATGCTGAAGAAAATACCATTCAACAGTGGGTGCCTCAGATGCAAGGGGCGTACGCGTCTCTCTCCTCCCCGCCCCCTTTCCATCCTCATCCTCACCTCCCGGGTGGAACTCTCCACAAACGGCCCCCCAAACATGGCAGCCATCCAGTCACAGCTGGAAATCAGCAGGGGCTTGTGGGCGCTGATGGCGCCATCATCCAGGATGAAGGTCACATCTGTCCGGGAGGAGAAGAGGCATCACAGGAGGATGTGGTGAAGGAACACGGGCCAACCAGCCCCAGGGGGAGTCAGGGGGCCCAGACAGCCCCGCTTCCTTCTAGCACTACAACAGGAAGCACTAAACATCCCACGCACTGAACAACCCAGCTCTCAGCCTGGGGAGAGCAGGCTTCAGGAGCAGGGGGGGCGCATTCCAGGACGCCAGGGCTGAGAGCGACTCGGAATGCTAAGGGGACCCACCCAGACTCCGCAGAAAGCTGCTCTAAGCATGCTCCATACCTGAGAACGTGCCCTTGGCCAAGCACTCCTTAACCCGGTTGGTCCGGCGGACGTGGAAGGCCTTGGTGATCTCCTGGTTCATGAAGGCCTCGTTGTTGAGAATGTTGGCCACCATCATGCGCAGATCGAAGACCTCCAGCAGCTCGGCGATGTGGGCGATGTGCATGAGGTCCCGCTCGTTCTCGTCCAGCTCCCCCGTGTACAGGTACTTGAGAACAGCCCGGAAGGGCCCCGGCTGGATGGAGTTGTCCATCTTTACCACCACCATCAGCCGGGATTTGTAGGTCAGGGGGTCTTCTGCCATCTCTTCCTGAATGCTCACAAAAGCTCGGCTCCAGGAAGACAGCACACGACCCCTGCCTGGCAGGTACCCCGTTCCGTTGCCCCGTAAGATCCCGTCGCTGGTCGAGGCACGGAGGCCAGCGGGACCAGAGCCCCCCACCTCGTCCACGCTCTCGCACACGTCAAAGCTGGCTGCCCGCAGCAGGAAGTCCCGCCCGTGGTGGTGGTGGTGATGGTGGCTGTGTTGGTCGGGGTGGCCCTGGTGGTCCTCTGGGCGGGTGCCCCCTGGCCCCGAGGGGCCCCCCAGCTCCCCCTCACTCAGGTCCATGAGGAACAGGTCGTAGAACTTGGAGGAGGAGGTGGAGAGGTAGATCTTGTGGGCAAAGATGCGCACCCGCTCCTGCAGCACCAAGATGACGTCCGCGCAGAGCGGGTCCTCCAGGAGGTGGGCGGGGCACTCCTCGCTGCTGGAGGGGGGGTCGGGCACCACGATAATGGGGGGTGGTGGCTTGGGGGGCAGAAAGGGCGCCTGCAGCAGAGGCCGCTGCACGTTGCGGAGGTGGGACTTCCAGAACTGCAGGTGGCGGCGGGAGATGAGTGCGGCCCGGATGGCGTTGTCAAAGACGTCCTTGATGCCAAACTGGGCCACCACGCTGGTCTCATAGTATGGGATCCCCAGCTCCTTGGCCACCTCTCGACCCTTCTCTGGGGGAAGGATCTCGTTGGGCTTGATGGGCCTGGGGGCGTTCAAGAAGGGAAACCAAGCTTGCGTTGGTGGCTGGAGGGACTCTGCTAGGGATCTGCATCCTCGGCCCCACCCCTGCCCTGCTCTTTCTCCTCTGTCTGGCCAATCCTGTCAAGCTCCTTCAAGATCCACCTCCAACCCCCTCTTCTTCCAGGAAGACTTATCTATGTATGCCAAGCCCCAAGTGACCTCCCCAGTTCAAATAAGTGACAGCACTAGCTACCTCTCTGGCAATGACCATGCAGTGTTTCACACTGGCATTTAACCTGCTCATATATTTAGTTTATCTCTTGGCAAAACTGCAAGACCTTTTCGTGCAAACACCATTTCCTCCTCCCTGTCTTTTCTCGTGATGCTTATTAGCACACCACTGCCCACACAGTAAGTGTGCAATAGACACTTGAATGAAGGAAGGAATGGATGAGCATTCGGTCGGCTACCAACGTGAGCTTGCTGCAAACGGAGGGAGCCCCTCCCTCGGCACCAGCACCCCCTACCTAGCCAAGGGTCGCCTGGCCCTATTGACGGCCTCCAGGTCAGCATAGCGCAGGTCCAGCTGGCAGCCCACCAGGATGACAGGTGCTCGGGGACAGAAGTGCTTGATTTCTGGGTACCACATGGTCTTAACATGGTGGAGGGAATTGGGGTTGGCAATGGAGAAGCACAGAACCACCACATCGGATCTGGGGGTGGAGAGGAAGGTTATGGGTAGAGAAGGCTAGCAGTAGGTCACCTGTCCCTGAAACAAGGGACAGCATGCATGCACTCCCCCAACCCCCACTACAGCCCCACACCTGGCTTAGGTATCTCTTCATGTGCTCTTACGCAAAACGTCTAATAATAGTACCTCCAATTCATGTAGCATTTAGAGCTTAAAGGCTCCTTTTGGACTTACAGCTAACTTGTGAATTAGAAATTACCATTTTTACCATCTTACAGCTAAGAAAAATCATATCAGGCGGCAGAGCTGGGACTTGAACCAGACCTCCTGGCACGGAGCCCTGGCTCCTTTCACCACCCCAGGCTGCCCCAGCCCCTGCAAGTGTGGACCAGAGCTGTTTTCTCCACTCCTTCCTCCCCACTGAAATTTCACAAGGTTGCTCAGTTCTTGGGAAGGTAGGGAAAACCCACCCACCTGGTTCCCTGCAGGTAGCCGGAGACCTTCCCTACCTCCCATAAGCAAAGCGACGATCTTTATGGTGGTCTCCAAAGGTGTCCCAGAGGCGCAGGGAGACGCTGACATCATCTACCACGTCTCGGGAGCGTTCCAGCACCTGGAGAATGAAGCACAACAGTTCCTGGGTCCCCTGCGTGGCAGCCCACTGCGTGCCTCACACAACATCTCATCCACGGGAAATCTCTATAGCATCAACAAAGGCTGCTTCCAAGCTGACCGGAAGTGAAAGAGACCCTAAGAGAGTAGATGGTTACGGGGTGCAAGGGACCTCTTCCGGAGCCTACTCTTGTTCCCAGCTTTCCCTGCAAATTGGATGTTTACGAGCCTCTGGTCTTTTAGTATTAGCTGCCAGCTTCCTTCTTTTGCTCTCCCAAGCCCCAGCCCCACGCACTGCTCCCTGTTACTTGGGGCTAGGATTGCACAAGGTGTAGTACCCAAGACACAGCTGGGGTCCCCAGTGAAATAAAAAAAACGGTCAGAGAAACCCCCCCCCCAGGGTGGGCTAGCTTCAGACCTCTCTCCAGGGGCTCCTTCCTCTTCAGCTGCCCCTCCAACCCCAGGGGCCTCTGGAGACCCCAAGCTGTGGCTTGGGAAGAAGCCCCCCAAGTCCAGATGTGCAGCTGGACCCCCAGCCTTACCTCCTGGCACACACGGTACTGGTCGATGGCCCACACTGTGGGCACGTGGGTGGCCAGCAGCTGGTACTGGGTGAGGGTGGCATTGCAGGCACGGGCACAGATGAGCCTGGTCTTGCCCACGGCGTTGTCCCCCACCACAACGCACTTGATGGTCTCTACGTTTGGCCTTTCATAATCCATGTCAGAATCCATTAAATGGGACCTGCAGGAGAGGAGGGAAGTGCTCAGGACGACCTGGCATGCCAGCTCCCTGCGGGCCAGGGCCAGCGCCCGCAGCTCCTCGGCGGGGCTGCCCCCACTTCAAGCTCTGGAGCCGACAGGAGGAGAAGGGAGTGGGCAACGTTCTGGCAGAGAGCTCCGCAAGGGCCCGACGAGTCAGGAGCCTGGTCAGGCTGAGAGGAGCAGTGCCACCAGATGGGCCATCCAACTGGGCGTGTGGATGGAGGAGACCTTTGAGAAATCCAGGCAGAGCCCGCCCAGGACCTGCCCTATCCCCACTCTCCAGAGAGAGAAGAGTCTGCCTGGGCAGCGCACTCATCATCACTCTCCTCCTCCTTCCCCAGCAGGGCAGTGGCAGCAGAACAACAAACAGCTGAGAGAAGCAGAGTCAGCCAGGTCCCCACCCCTTCCCAGCAGGCCTCAGGGCAGGGCCACTTTAAAATTTAATAGACCTGTCAGGCCTAGTCGGCAGCTCTCCTGGCCTCCGCCCTTTCCCCTGGCCCTCCTTGGTGGTGCATTTCCAAGTCCCAGCCCGCCTGAGTCTGTCTTTCAACCCCAGACCCCAACCCCTTTATACAGATGCCAGAGTTTTTTCTCCCAGCCTCTCTGGGACAGGGAGGCTTCTGGATGCACCTGACAGACCATGGGCCTCCCCTGCTCTGCTCTGTCTTGCTCAGCCACGGGCCCAGCTTTGAGGGTGGGTGCAACCACGGGCCTGCAATGGTACTGTCCTCCCAGCATCCTGCAGCCAGTCTCAGAGAGAGTGAGATCCACCCTCTTCTGCCCTTCCCATTCCTAGGGAGGATTCTCAGGCTGGAAGACCCCAAACAGCTGGCACTCCTGGGAGATACTCGCTACACTAGCTACACCGGTGATGGGGTTGCTGCAGTAAACAGAGGGTCAGAAACCAGGGTCTGAATTTCTGTGCAAATGCTTCCCTCAGTTGCCCTCAGTGTTGGGCAGAGAGAAGTAGCAAAGCCACCCACAGAGAGGGATGGCTCCAACGAACAAACAGAAGGCCCTTCTGTAGTTAAAATGTCATGTCAGTGTTTAAAAAGCTGTCACTAGGAGGCCTTGGGCTCGAGGGGGCTTTCACTGGCAGCCTCCAGTTGGCATCTGTGCTCCTGAAGGTGTAGAGAGATGGGCAGGGAGTAGGGGTGGGGCACATGTTATTAGGAAGCTTAGTTTCTCCAGGGTCATCAGCCTGCCCTGCTCACATTCCCTGTGTGCATGCAAAGTTGTCCGAGGGTTCGAGCAACCCGGAACCACCCCCCCTAGGCCAAGGAAGGCTGAGCTCAGAGGTGTCCTGGAGGCTGCCCAGGCAACCTGGCTGCTGAGCCATCCAGCCGAGAGTCATGCCACCAGCAGCAACAGAGAGGCTCCATTCCTGCCGCTGTAACTGGATGCCAGCATGCAGGAATGCAGAACCGAAATATCCAAGTAACGATGGCAACTGGGATTTGCGCAAGTGGATGCATCTCGGCAAGCTAAGCAAAAAGTGCAGCAAGGACTTTTCAATGAGACAACCTCCTCCTCCTCCTCCTTGGAATTTTACAGGATCTAGACCCTTCAACAACAAGGGGTCTCCATGCAGTTCCCTCCCTGGTTTCCAGGGCAACTGTCTGCATCATTCCTTCTCTCTCCCCCGCCCTTCCCCAGCCCAGCAGGGAACTGTTATTCTAACCACCAGCTTCCTCCTCCCCCTTCTCTCTCTTGAGCTGAGGACTGGGAACCCCACTTTGACAGATCCTGGTCTCCAGCTGCGGAATGTGTTGGCCCCAAGAGGAGTCATCTGGGTTGTGGTTTCTGTTTTATTGACTGAATAACAAAACAGAATCCCAAATACAAAACACATGCAGCTGCAGGATAAAGATCAAATCCCACTAGCCAACAGAACTTCTTTGTCAAGTTTCAATTCTAGCAAGATGTGGCTCTGCAAGGGTGGAATGAGGCATGGTCCAGAGGTGTCAGCTCTTAAATCCAGGAGCATCTCCATAGTGAGGATAATGCCCAGATATCAGCAGAGCAGTGCTGGTCCAGGTTCAGCTACTTTATGATTAAAACACTCATGCACACCTCGTGTTATGTCATCTCTAGGTTTAAGTGTGGGACAGCCAACCAACAAGTAGGAGAGCCACAAACTGTGTGGTGAGTTTAGACACCAGACCTGCTGGATTGCTGCCTAAGCTGAACACCCCTGCCCCTCCATCCCCTGTCCCTTCCACTTCCCTTGTTTGTCCTTCAAGTGCCTCATTTTTATCATTCTCACTCTTCCACCCTCTCTCAACTGCCTGACTGGCAACCTTCATTGTCCAATCTAGGAAAGGGCAAATTGCTTCACTTTTCTGGGCATCAGTCTCCCCCTCTGGAAAATGGGTATAAGGCATTGGAAGAAAGTCTTCTGAATCTTGGTTAATCCATGCCAAGGAAGCCTGGGCTAAAAGGAGGTATTTGTCTTCTTATGTAATGTGGTATTATATAATGCCAGATTGCATATCTATATGTGTAATTATATCTCTCTTTAAGATACAGACTGGCCCAATTAAGCCAGCAGAACTTTTAGTCTAATGAGGCTGTCTCAAATGAGAATCCTGTCCTGGAGAGATCGAGCCAACAGTAATACCATTTTTGCCCTAGAATATTTCTATTTTACTGTATCACTGCTGAGGTATGATGATACAACCCACTCAGTGAGCTTCTCAACTTCCCCTCTCCCTCTGGCACTCTCTCCTTCAATGACTCTAGACTTTCTTCACAATTGCCTCATTCCCTTTCCAACTAACCTCCATAAACTACAGCTTCCTTGCCACCCTGCACTGGGTATCACAATCCCCAATTTGCTCCACTCCAACAATAACCCCAAAGTCACTGATATGTGTTCCCTGCACCCCTGTCCCACGACCCCTGTCCCCATCTCCCAAAACAGCCCGCTGCTCTCCCAGCTCTGGGTTACAAAGTCCAGGCCAAAACCCAAGGTGTGCTCAGATTAGCTACAAATCTCACACACACCCGTTCCCACCCCCACACCCCTACACACTCTTTGCAGGGCTCAGAAAAGGCCCCTTTTCCCTCCCACAGCTGATAGGAGGCTTGTTCATCTGTAGCTGCCCTAGTCTGGTTGTCAAGGAAACAACAGAATCTCCCTGGGAGCCTGGCTTGTCTCCTAGCAACCAATATCCCACATCCTACATCTTACAAAACGCGAAAGGGAGGAAAATCCTGAAAATGAAGGTAAAAAGCAAAGACAATAGATAGGAAGGGAGAATCCGGAGGAGAAGAACAAAGAAAGGGTGGACTCGGATTGAAGTAGGCTCCCACCGGGGTCGCTGACACTGTAATATGCGGGAAGGCGGAGAGATCAGTCCTTGCAGATCCGACGGAAAGCAAGGCCCAAAGGGATCCTGAATGGTCATATTAACAAAAATGCCAGCCTATTGCTGACATGTCTAGGTGGAAAAAAAACAAAAACAAAAAAAACAAAAATGCCAGCCTAAACACAGGATAAGCCTTCTCCAACCCAAAATGTGGAAACATCAACAAACACTGCCAAAGATTTCTGCCAGTACTTTGTCAGAACTCAGGTGCCCAGACTGCAACAGAGTTGAGTTCAAAGAAACATCCCCAGAACCACGAGCAAAACACCCAATTTCTCTCTCTTTTTTTTTTTTTTAAGCGGAAACACTTTCACCACTCTGGACCGTTTTTTTTCTTTCCTTATACGCTGCTCTGCACACACACAAAATAGAAATCAAAAATCAAAGTAGGGGAGGGGAAGCACCCGTCCTCCGTGGTGCCCCACGGTCGACGCTCGCGGCTAAATGTGCTAAAAAGCCCGTCTGTGCCACCCAGGAAAAAAATATATAGGGACGGGGGAGGGGCACGACACGCCAAGGCAATCGAGTCATCTTCCTTTCCCTAGAAAAACCCGGAAAAGGTTAGTCCCCCGCCCCTCGGCAGCCAGGGGCCGAGCAGGAGCCGAGGGCAGCGCGCAGCCGAGGGGACGCTGGCAGGGGCGCGACAGGGCCCGGGAGGGCGCCGCGGCGCGTGTGCAGAGGACCCGGCCATCTCCGAAATCGGTCGTTTACTTACACCACCACATGTGACGGGGTGATTTCTAGCGTAAGGAGCACATCTCTTCCTGCTGAGCACGTTCATTTTAGTGCAATGTCTGGGGTCCCTCCGCGCCTGCAAGTTGGGGCGCCGCGGCGCCGCCGGGGCTCCGGCCTCGCGGGCGGGTCGCGCCGGATCAGAAACTCGGGCGGAGCAGCCCAGGCCGGACGGCGGGCCCGGAGCGGCGGCGCGCGCGACACTGCGGCCGCTGGCTCTTCCGGATCAGCATCGCCCCGCGCCCCGGGCGCCCAATGTCACGGAGGCGCGCCGGGCCGGGCTGCGCGCGGCCGCCCACGGCGCTGGGCCGGCGGGGCTCGGGCGGCGGAGGGTGCGGCGGCGCTCGGGGCGAGGGGCGAGGCCGCCGCCGCGACGCGCCCGGCCCGCGGCGAAGGCGACTGGCGCTGCAGTCCCGGGCGCCGCTCGCGACCTCCTTTTTTCATTCACAAAAAATGGAAAGGGGAGGAAAAAAAAAAGAAAGGGAAAAAAAACTGCACCCGCGACCGCTGCCGTGACGGGCCCCGCCCACCGCGGCGCCCCGTTGGTGGACGGCGGCCGGGGGGCGGGGAAGGAAGGGGATTGGGCGCCCCAGAGGCCCCGCCCCGCAGCGCCCCCGGCCGCCCCTTCTAGGCCCGCCCCCTCCTCCGCTCCGCCCCCTGCGCCCCGCCCCGCTCGCCCAGGCCGGAGGGAAGCCGCGGGGAGGGTCGCGAGCCCGCAACCCGCTCCGGCCCCTCCGTCTGGCAAGGCGCAAAACCTCCCTGGACTCCCGCGGGCTTTGCCCCTTTCCTTCGGGAGGCTGGGAAGGCACTCTGAAAGGCATCCCTGGGCGCCCTAGAAGGGAGGCGCTAAGTTAGAGGAGGGCGCCAGGTCTTTTCCTTGTCTTTCCCCTTAAACCCAGACCCCCACCGCTGGGGGAGCACGCGTTTCCGAGCTAGCCCTCTGCCCCTGCCCCCTCGGGAGTTCTCTGGGCACTTGAGGGCTTTCGTCCCTCCAGATCAGCCCTGCAGCGACGGCCTGTGCCTCCGACTGCCACGGCCCCCAGTGAGCTTCTGTGCCCCCTTACCTACCCCCTACCTAGGCCCTCCCGCCTCCATCCCAGCCCCATCCTTTTGCCACCTGAAGCTCACTAATTAATGTCTTCTGACTCAAAGAAATCCCCTGAAGACACTAGCCACAGAAACAGTCCCTAAGGCCTCTTTGGGCTCTCTGTCTCAATTTACCCTTCTGTAAAATAGGGAGATTGTAAGGGTAGCATCTACATATACTGTGAGTGATCCTCAGAAGGAAGTTTCCGTATTCAAGTCTAGTTTTATTGTGATGATCTTGCCTGCTAGTATAATAATTATGGCTCAGTCTGGTTTTATCCATCTTGTTAGTTACCTCAGAACAATTTCTTTTTTTGAGACAGGTCTTGCTGTCACCCAGGCTGTAGTGCAGTGTTGTGATCACAGCTCACTGCAACCTCAGAGTCCTGAGCTCAAGCCATCCTCCTGCCTCAACTTCCTAAGTAGATGGGACTATGAGCATGTGCCACCACGCCTGGCTATTTTTTTTTTTTTCATTATATTATTTGTGGAGACAGGGTCTCGAAATGTTGCTCAGGCTGATCTTGAACTCCTGGTCTCAAACAATCCTCCCATCTTGACTTCCCAAAGTGCTGGGATTATAGGCATCAGCCGTCATGCTTGGCCTCTGGACAATTTTTAAAGCCCGTACTGGCATGCCCCCACCTAACCTTTGAACCCATGCTTCGAGAATGAAAATCCACTCTACTATTAGTTCATCCAAAATATGATTATGAAGAGAAATTTAGTGCCCCAAATAGCCAAATACAAAATAGTTTTTTTTCTAAAGCATGCTTCTCATCTATTAATGCATATAATTTGAGTTGCTCATTGAGGTGTTCGGGATAACCGTGCTTTCTGGCCTGGTGGATGCACAGTAAGCACTTGGTTGGAGGATGCTTTCCCCAGCCTCCTTCTGAATCTACCTAGAGCTGGGAAAGGGGTTAACAATAACTGAGGTGCTACTTACTTCACACTTCTGGTTCGAATTCACCCTCCATAAAACAAAGTACTGGTTTGAATACATATTTAGGAAAGAAACTAAACCGTGCATTGAAAAGCCTCACCCCATACTCTGTGTACCTGAGTCACTGCACCAGAGAAAAGCACAGCATGAGATCTCTGCATGCCTCTCCACAGACACCCTGTTCCCTCCACCCACCTGCAGAGAGCCACCTGCGTGCCAGATGCCTGTTGGCATTACCTTTAACACGTCCTGGCCGCAGGCACAGCCCCAGTGCAGCATGGAATAGGAAAACAGAACCCCTCTCCACCTGAAGTTGGGGTAAGGGCAGCTACTGGGCCTGTAACTATGGAGCCAATGCCCTTTCCCTTTTTGGAGAAAAAGCTGGCTCAGCCTGGAAAGCTTAACCAGCCAGGCTGGACTGTGGGAATTCCAAGGTGTAGGGTTTGGGGTGGGGGTCTGTTAGACTGATGCAGGTGTGGAATGAAGTTGCACAACAGCTCTCACTCAGTAGACCGTTTCAGGCAGAGCCAGTGCTTTGCTAGGCGGTGGCCTCCACTGCCAGCCCTGCTTTCTGCGCACAGTTCCCTCTTTCCGCTTTTCTCTAAACTAAAGTCTTCCTGATCACCTCTCAGGCTTTCCCAGTCAGAGCCCCACTCAGTCCTCTGGGGCAGCAGAGTGCCTCCAAGTCCCCACCTCCTCAGAAACCGGTGGGCCCACCCCGTCCTCCTCAGACCCTTTGTCACTGTCAAGCCACCCCAGGCTTGTACCCTTGGCTCTCTGGGGGCTTCTGCAGACCTCAAGTCAGGCAGCCCTGTGGCTCTGCACTCCCCTGCAGCAGCTCCCAGCTTTCTCCCCACCCCACCCTCCTCCAGGCCAATGTGACTGATGCCAGGCTTCTCCCCTCCAACCCTGGCCAAAACTGTCCCTGGGCCCTCCACTCCACCCTTCCTGCCACCCAAGACAGCCCCAAGCCCCTGGCTTCTGGGCCAAGCACTTGTTACCCCATTCACCTCAGCTTTGCCCAGCCCTCCAATGCCAGACCCCAGAAAACAGGGCTGCTCCCCAAGGCTAGGTTCCCCCACCTGCAAGCAAGGAGCTGACGGCAGCCTGCTCCACACCCATCCCTGTCCCCAGCTCTCAAGGCTTAGCGCTTAGCGGCAGTACCTCACGGCACAGGGAGCCTCCCACTCCCCCTCACCGCGCCCTCCCACCCCAGCCCCCCCCCCAGTGGTTTTCCTTGCTTTAGGTGACTTCTCAAGATGCACCAGCCCTCTGCCCGCATGCTGCAGCTTGGAACCGCTGGCATGATTCTGAGGAATCGTTCAGAACCCACCACCGAGCCCCTCACCACAAGCTAGCTGGGCTTCCACGCCACCCTTCCGCTAGTGCATGTGGGCGATGCCCTGCCACGTGCCCTGCCACGTGCACAGCCTGAGGACCTCCTGGCAGCATGGAGACAGGTTCCATTCCAGAATGCCTGAAAAACAGCGCCTCCATCCGTCCCCATGACCACCCTCCTGCAGGCCAACGTGAGGCTGCTGTTTTCCTGAAGCTGGGCAGATGCCTGGCCTGCCAGCGGGAGGCTCAGTCTGGGGAAGGAGAAACCCCATCCTGGTTCTTAGGAAAGACACACACAGCAGGCTCCCGGGCCAGTCTCGCCAACCCTCCTCTTGCCACGGCTCTGAGAGTCCCTCTGCAGTGGCTGTCCAACCTGTGCAAACCCTTCTCAGCCCCTCCTCCAACCTGCATATTCCCTTTCCTCCCCAGGCAGCTTTGTTTGCCCCTCAACTCTTTGCAGGCTACAAAGGGCTCTTTCACTGCACCCCTCACCTGGAATATAAGAGCCTGTGCTGAGCCCATGCCGTGAGCAACGTGACAATAGCTCCAGCACCCCGCCCCCAGCAGTGTGCAGTCTGGGGCACCTGGCATCCCCACCCTGTACTTGGGGCAAAGTTCAGAACCAGCCATGTGCAAAAGCAGAGGCATTTCAAGATGCAGAGCCCAGGCAGGGTGAAGGAGCCAAATCTGGGATGCTTAGAGTCCCTTGGCCTCCCTGCCTGCAAGTTAGGGGGACCACTGGGTCCCCACAAGGAGATGGGAAACTTCTAGTACTTTGCATAGGCAGTTCCTTCAGCCTGAAACATTCTTCCTCTTTCAACCCTCTTCACTAGGAAAATGCATATTCATCCTTCATCTGGCAGCCTAGATACCACTTCCTCCAGGAAGCCTTCCATGGACACCCCTGTCAAGTCTGGGTTTCCTGTTCTTCCCCTGTGCTCCCCTGATAGCACCGATCACAGCACTCCATAATTGGGTCTGTCTCTCTCCCAGGCCATACTGAGAACTCCCTTAGGGAAGGAGCGATGCTTATTCAAAAGGGTATTTTTCATGCTGGTCTAGTGCCTGTAGTGTAGTGCACCAATAGGCACTCAATAGATGCTCAATAAATGCTGGATGGATGAATGAATGTTTGAGGGGACGTGGAGAGGGAGGAAGACGACACCGCACGGCGGCTACTCACATGCTATTCAGAGGGATCGTCCATGGGCTGTACTGGCCTTTTCTTCAGGCTTGCATTGCCGTGTCCCTCTGGGCTCCTGGTTGAGAAAGACAAGAACAGGGATGCAGTGGGGGAAAAAAGGAGTGAGCACACTTCAAGTTACCTAAAAGTTGGTCAGCCCCAACGAAGGGCCTTACTCAGGGCAGGGGAGTGGCCCTGCTGTCCAGGCCCAGTGGGCTCAGACCCCAACCTGGGATCAAGACAGAGGCCACCCCAGGGAGTCGAGGGACTAGATGAGAGGCAGAAACTGCGGTCCTGGTCCATCCCATTCTGCAAGCATTTGCACCTTCTGAACCGGTTTGGCAATTTGGAAAAAGGCAATCAGTCGTCCATCGGGAGGCCTGGATTCTGTCCTCGGGAAGCTGTGTGACATGGGACAATTCCCTCTTCTCCCTGGGCATCACTTTCTCGTGGACAAGGGCCAGGTCAGGTGACCTCCAAGCCTCATTCCGGCACCCATATTCTACATGGGTGCCTAGCGCGGAAGGGGTGGATTTTATCGGTCGTCCTTTTCTTTGGAGCAGCTCCCAAACCAAACTGGGACTCGGCAGAATATCAGCTGATGGCCGCCATGGCTGAGAAAAGAAGGAGGAGGTATTTTTTGGAGAGAGAGTGAGGATTAGACACATGGTAAGAGACAGAAAGAGAATCTAATTTTGCAATCATCTCCACCTTCAGCTTCCTTAAATGGTCAGTCACAATCTCGGCACCAATTTAG